TCGAAGTCCTTTGATAATGGTGCCTTGAGGAACCAACGGGATGAAAAACCCTTTGCTATAGAAAATACCCTAACTACGAGTGTCATTAAAACCGATATTCCAAATTTAACGTCGTCGAAGTCTTTTGATAATGGTGCCTTGAGGAACCAACAGGATGATGCTTCTGTTTGGGTCAGAAGAGCAACTACAAGTCTAATCGAAGAGAGAAGTAAAGGTTTTCGAAGTAACAGAAGGGGCGTACTAGGATTAAGCCACACTTCTGCTAAAGCCGAGGTGATGAAGTGGGAACAACGTCAGAACAATGAGGTAGATTCTTCTCCCAGAAGGCCGAGATCATCACCTTTGAAGCCTATGACAGACAGACCCCTCGTAAGGGAGTGGCAGAAGACTAGTACTTCAGTACACAATACGACAGTGACGGTGAATACAAAAGACACACGGAAAGTACCTTCCGTTGAACTGGGTACCGCTGTAAAAGATAAGGAACATACTCTACTCGTTCAAACATCCCCTCCACCTATTTCAGAATCCCAAAGTGAAGTGTTTAAAAAGCGGAAAGATTCAGGTACTAACGTCAAAACTGAAGAACGTAAAGTTAACCACTCGGAAACCCATGGGAATGAAAAGCCATTGGTGGAGAACGCGGGAAAATACAGAAATGTGGTGGAGAACCCACAAAACGAATCCCGAAAAACGGAAAATAAAAGTTCCAAACATAAAAAAGATAAAGAACGAAGCGAAATTAAAACAGAAATTCAATCTGGAAACACTTCTGCTTTTCCAGAATTCGATTTGACATTTCAAAAAATTGTCCCTGTGGAGAATGATGCTGAATTACCGGTAGAAGATGATGATTTCATTTGGGTGATGACGTCAGAGACAAACCCAAACCTAGAGTTATTGGTATCTCCGACTAAAAAATCAAAAAGTCATTCCAAAGTGTCGAGAAGAAGAAGTACCAAATCGAGCGAGGCAGACACGGAGCCTTCAGTACGTGAAAACAGCGGTGGCAGACGAAGAAGTACCAAATCAAGCGAGGCAGATACTGAGCCTTCTGCCCATGTGGACAGCGGCAGAGGACGAAGAAGTACCAAATCGAGCGAGGCAGACACGGGTCCTTCAGTGACTGTGGACAGCGGCAGGAGACGAAGAAGTACCAAATCGAGCGAGGCAGACACGGAGCCTTCAGTACGTGAGAACAGCGATGGTAGACGAAGAAGTATCAAATCGAGCGAGGCAGACACGGAGCCTTCAGTGACTGTGGACAGCGGCAGGAGACGAAGAAGTACCAAATCGAACGAGGCAGACACGGAACCTTCAGTACTCGAAAACAGCGGTGGCAGACGAAGGAGTGCAAAATCGTTTGAGGTGGAAAATGAAACTGCAGTTTTTGAGAGCAGCAGTAGTACAAGAAATAAAAACACAAGCGTAGTAGAAGTTGTGCCTACAGTACGATTGGCCAGCGGGAATACCAAATTAATTGATGATGCGTCTTCAGACACACCTTTGCAAGTCAAAACGATTCCAATGACGTCGGGTGTAACAACCGTCAACTTTGAAATCAATACGGGAAAATTTAAGCTAAAGTAAACTAGCTAACTTAAGGACAGATATTTTTTTWAACGTATAATTGTTTCCTCATATTCTTATTATGATATACTAGACTGGTACCGTGAAAAATTCACGACTTATCAAAGACTGTCTTGTTCTAGACAGCATTATTTTGATCACCATCTTGATATATTGGTCACGCGAAGAAAAAGCACGAGAGTATCGTCGAAGCAACAAACATGGCGGCGTTGTAAGCTGACATAAGCGTGCGATTTTCTCGAAATTCCCAAAAGTAAATCGTTTCAAATGAAAACCAAATTGCGCAATTCCTCGCCTGTAATGTAGAAAAGGCGTGGATTTGATATTTTCTTGCTTGGCCATTCTTCTGTGATTGGAGGAAAACGCTTCTCTCTTGCGCTATTATATATATATATATATAATTATGGGAAAGGCGGATTGGCTTTGTAAGCTGTGCGATAGTGCTATGCTTTTGGAACAAGATATATAACCTACGCTGGAGTGAGCGTTACTTGAGTTTGTTGTCCAAGCAGCACCAAATCGTAACAAATTCGCTGTCCCGGAAAAGCTTAGTTATCCAGTCTGCTATTTTCCACTTATGACATATAGGAATGTTATACACTTATTTCAATAAAGTTAGTCACCTGAAAAGCTATAAAGCTGAGGCCGACCAGGATTATGGGTAGATTCATTTTACACGTTCAACCGCTTGACAACTGTCCATGGACTTGTGAATCTTTTACCGGTTACAGTCTCACCTCTTCTGAGCATCATCGAGCTGCAAGTTGTATTAAAAAAGCTTTGTATATATATGCTTTTTTGATATGAAAAGTTTCCCATGATGCTCAGTGATCTTAGCTTTCTAGGTTTTTGGTGACTAACTTTAATGAAATAAGTGTATTCATCGAATAAGAAGCGCACAAACGATTTTGGGTTGGTAACTTTTAGAATACCAGCTTCGTATTTAGCAAAGCCACACGAGTAAATACAATTATCTAGCGTAAGAAGAATTATAATAAACCAAAATATTTATAGATAAATATTTAAGTTGAATGATAGCTTAAAGTAATGTTGATATTTAATTAATAAGTATTTCAAGATTAACTAGTGCCCAGACTTCACACTGTCCATTTATTGAGTGTAGCCTGGAGAGCAAATTGGTTAGGATTTTTTTATTGAAAACTAAAAATTCTTATTTTGTCAATTTTATAAAGTATTATTTTATCTCGTCAGACGATAATATTTAAGAGCACAACCCTTTATCTCTATCTTTCAATAAAATAACTGCATTATGCATTATTACTTGTGCCCAGACTTCATGGTGTTTATTGAGCGAGTGGAGTCTGGAGTGGAAATTTATTGAAGCTACTTTTTATCGATCATTTATTTAATGATATCTTGTCAGAAGAAAACATTGAAAACCACAACTCTCTCTCTCTCTCTCTCTCTCTAATAAAATATATGCATTGTGCTGTTTTTTAATTTTAATTTAATTTGCGTCGAGACTGTTTTCAATCAGTCTTATGCTTTCGTAGTCCACTATTGGATCCACTTTTCTCACTAAATAATTCATGTCTAGGGAATAAAAGAAAAATAGCGCACACGAGCGTAATATATACAAAAAAAAACAGTCTCTTTCCGTTACTCGGTTTGTTTTTACCGCGCGTGATTCGATAAACTGGGTCTGGACTATAGAGATTTTAAGCGCGACTTCCGGGTCCAAAACGGAAAGCAGTTCCATAAAGTTTTTTTTTTTTTACTTTATCTTAATAATAGGATTTGCTGTTCAAAGTTCTAATTGTTTCAGGTGGATGTTAAATTATTGAGAATATATTTCGCTTTATTTTAGCGGTTTTTGTTAGTAATTGGACCCGGAAGTGCGTCACAGCTTAATAGCTCTGTTGCTCGCGTTACGAAGCAGTCCTCTACACAATTATTTCATCGCGTTTTGTTGAAAATAATCATTGCAGGTGGACGATAAAGAATACGAAGACTCTGAATTCCTTGAAGAAGTTGAGGAAGACGAGTATGAAGTAGAAGAGTGTGAAGCTGAAACCATACCCGATCACACGGGGCACTCCGTAAGAAAGAAATCTGTCACAGTAGCAGAATGGAAGGTATTGAAACATATGGAAGAAATAAAGGAGTTGGACGAAGTGGATGAGAGCGAAAAAATTAACGAAATAATGGAATCGGATGAAAGAGAGGGAAATAAAGACGACATCAATGGTTTTAAAGAATTAAACAAGATCGATCGGTTGGAAGAGAAGGAAGATTTAGATAAAGAAGATATAGAAATCGATGAAGTGAAAATAAAAGTCAGTCCGTATTCCGAGTATAAAGAACTGGTGACAATGATCGAAGACCACGTGATTATGCCATTCGATGTTCAACTTAAACCTTTGCCTTATAAGGAAACAAGTGTTTGATCCACTAAGGAATACCTTATAAGGAGAACACTCTAATATCTTATAAAGAAGCCAATTTGATGCCTTATAAGGAAACCATTCCGATGCCTTATAAGGAAATGGCTACCTGGTTTTTCAACAGTGACACGCCTCATAAGGAGAACAATGATAACTTATGAGTAAGCCAAATTAAAGCCTAAGGAGACCAGTTTGGGGCCGTTTAAGGAAGCTAGTCAGATGCCTTATAAGGAGACCATTCTGATGCTGCATAAGAAAGCCAGTCTGATGCCATATGAGGAAAGTATTTTGAACGTCATACGGGGAAGCCCGTCTGATGCTGATCATTTGCGATAGCCAGTTTGATGTCACGCAAATAAAGAAACTAACATAAGGAAACCTGTTTAATGCAATAAAAGAAAACCACTCTGATGCCATATAAGGAAAACACTCTGATGCCATATATGGAAACCAGTCTGACGTCATTTAAGAAAGCCAGTTTGATGCCCTATAAAGGAACCATTTTCATATGAGGTAGCCAGGCTGATGTTTCACAAGGAAACCATTTTGATACCTTATTACAGTTTGTTGCACTACATAGGTTTTCATCGTTTCAAGTTCGTTTTTATTTTTATGAGTGAAAAAAGTTGAATCAAGGAGGAAAAGGTTGGAATTAATCTCACGTGACCACCAGACAAAACGTACATGATTATTGTCAGATAAAGAAGAAAAGAAATATTTATGTGATTATACAGAGTTAATTATTTATTTGATTAGAAATTGAGGTTTTATAGGATATCAGTATAGTTCACAATAAGACTGATAAATGTTGATTTCGGGCTAATATATTCCTTTTATATTGATTGAAATATCTAGAGAAATGTGTAAAACGGTAATGAAGATATGTATTTAATGAGCTTAATTTTTGGTAAGATGATAATAAATGTAATTTAATGAGCGATTAAAAGCTACGATCCCAAATATAAAATTTGTACATTAAAATAATACAACAAAATAAAAGTTTTTCTTTTTTTTATGACAACTATTATATTTTCCGCTGATTTTATTGCAATTAACTGGCTTTACACCCCCATACTCCTGGAGGACATTTATGGTTCTGTCTTGTTACTCTCAGTTTGTTAGTAGCTTGCAGTTGACTGGCTTTACA